TAAATGTAATGTAATTATCATTTATTTAATTCTTGCCACAGTTAATTGGAAACTTATATTTTTCTAATTAAAATTTGCAACGGCTTTGATTTATAAAACTCTAACAATAAGTTTTATATGTAGGATTTTGACTTATGCTCTTTACACCAAGTGCCGAGCATAATATTACAATGCGCTTCCAAGAATACACAAGGGTATAATTAGTAAACTTTGTTGATATATGGCACATAATATCCAATGTACTTCTCTCATGCTACCGCTAAATATACATAATTCAAACTGCAAGGAAATGACGGTTCTTGCGTAAAAGGATTTGTTTAAAGTAGACTATATAGATATTTTATCGACTTCTACATTTTTGCACACACGGACGCACAAGAGACAGAGAGAAGGAATTGCGAAGAATCGACTTTCGAGAAAATAGAGCGCACACTCGCGACTTTCTTCTTCGAAAACCAATCGAACGGCGTATGTTGCGCCGGTAATTAACGCCGACCTCGCTCAAAGATTTAATATCGAGGGCCGCATACCTCAGCGTCAATTACGCGAAAGATACGTTCGCTTCTGTCGGTCGCGTAACTTGGTCTCGTATTTCTCGGTGAAATGTAGAGGAAACGAATAGAGATTCGAACAAGTTTTGATTAATGGAACATCGGGACTTGGAAAGGAAGAAAGAGCCGCCTCGGGCGTGCAAAGGCGTAATTAACAACGGCAATCAGATGAATCAGTGCATTTTTTTTTTTAGATAGAAAAACGTCGCAGTCGATCCAAGCAAGTTGGATTGGCGAAACTTACGACAGCTGCAGGTTAGATATTCGTTCTGACATTAACAATGAATCTTGAATCTTCTAAAAGAAAATGTAAGCAATATTTCTGTTAAAACTAGAATTGTTTATTTTTGTAAAAATTTCTATCTTTCGAATTATGATATAATTTTTCAGTATATTTTGCTTAAAAATATAAATCACGATAAATTTAAATTAAATTATTAACTATTTACCTGCTATTTTAAAACAAAGAAAAAGAAAGTAATAAAATAAATCTTTACAGAAAAAGTAAATAGCACTGTTTTGATTCGCTAATAATAAGAGATTAGTCTTTATTAGAGAATTTAATATTTATTTAGAGATGATGGTATCGAGCAATAATTAATTCGAAATTATCATAGATTTGAAAAAAGGTGAGAGAGAGAGAGAGAGAGAGAAAGAGAGAGAGAGAGAGAGAATTAGGAAAAGAGAAAATCGAAAAGTTGGAAGGGAGCTTCAAAGGAGCTTCTTCGAGACTTTACGATAGCAACTCCATGGTCTTTGTAGTTGCCGAGAAAATGTGAGGGTAGTGGAAACGGCAGCTGGATATCGATCCCCAAACAAAACAGGCAGCGAGTGTCTCGCGGTGTAATTTCTGACAATCCATAGGGTACAGAGGAGCCGGTTAATATCTCCACGGTGTCTTCCATTACGTAAAACAATATTTGTGATGTATTATAACTCGTGATGTGTACGCGCAAGAAATTGCAAGTATGTATAAACTCGTTACGAAAACTCGTTACGCTCCGCCTTGAATGTACGAAAAAGTATATCTGCTCATTTTTGGCTATTCAATTATAGTCTGTTGCATAAGCAACGTGAGTTGTTGAAATTTTTTAAAAAGAAGCTTAAAATCATGAATTTTATCATTTTGTGATTATAATATTATATATTTTTATTTAAATTTAAAATACATTCAACAGTTAATTTCATTCAGTTAAATTCTGTTTATGTTATGAAAGAATGATCAAAACTAATTTTAATTCGCCAAAAATACAGATCTCTATGTATATCATTCTGCAATTATAAGTATAAAGTTTGACGGCGATTGATATTATCGGCGATGAAATAATTGTTACAATTTTTAGCTTTAGAATATCAGTCACATATTTCTCTTAAATCTTTCTCTCCTTTGGATTCTTATCATTCTGTTCAAGAATCGTTTGTTTTTTTCGATCTAGCAAAACTCACTTATTCCCTACTCCAATTTCAACAAGAGATTGCATCTATCTCTCTTTGAAATTTCTTCTCGTACAAATTCTCGATTGTCTCGGCAGATTCTCGAAATTGTTTTCTACACGAATACTCGTTCGAAGACGTCCTTTGAAAAGGTGAATAGAGAGAGAGAGAGAGAGAGAGAGAGAGAGAGAGAGAGAGAGAGAATGCCTGGTGTAAATGCAGAGCAACCGACGAGCCCCGGGGGTCGTCTCGAAGCTCAAGTGCAAGAAAGTTTGGCAGGCTTGCCTTTTTATCCCTCCAGACGTAAAAGGGCGCACTCACGCACACTCCACGCACTCCATACTCCGTATTCGCTAGCCCTATACTCTTTTTCTCCTTTCACTTCCTCCGTCGTTCCTATCATCGAAGTCTCTAAAAACCGATATAGCTGTATATTCACCCGCCGTTTTCCTTTCGTCTCGACGAAACGTTAAAAATCTCCCCACCACCGCCTGTCTGTGAGCTGCTTTCCAGAACGGCACGGTGGTGCCTGCCTTGGAAGAATCTTGAGGTACTTGCCGAATAACCCTCGAGAAGGGTCGCGGCGAATGATCGGGTATCTCGTTTTCCAGAAATATCGTTCGCGTGCTTTGGACGTTCGCTACTTACGCCGTTTCCATAGGACTTTAAGTTAACGATGTACATAATCTTTATTGCTTACATAAATTTTGTTGGCTTGAGTAAAGCGAGTAAGGTACAACAAGATATAAAAATTGTTCATCTACATAAAGTATCTAATCTTTATTTAAACAATATAGATTAGAGGCAATATTTTCCCATAAAATTATTTTGAAAATAAGATAAAAGTATAATCAACAATCGATTTCTTAAGATATGCAAACGCTTTATAATACTCTTAAGTAGGTATCAATGTACATGTAATTATGATTTAGGCATGATAATAAAATAAATCATTCAAAACTAAACTAAAAATACCAACTAGATATTTTTAAAATTGTGTCGTTTCTTTATTTTAAAAGAATAGCTAAAAGATGACTAATTTATCAAAATCAGAGAAAAAAAGAAAATAGAAACAGACGGAACAATTTATGTACATAGATAAATTAATTTATATTATTTTATTCATTAATAATTAATGTAAAACCTATTGCATCGATTGCGTTCTAGGCAGCTTGTTAAATATTAATAATTAATATTACTCCAACGTTTTTCAATATTTTTATCGAATAGCTTTGTTAAACGCACAAGTAAAATTTCTATATGAGACCACATTTCGAATTGGCTCTATTCCGGACAATTAATGGTCGCATTTCGCTCCGCGTCCGAGTAAATTTATTGTCGATGAAGCGTAACGTAGTGCAGGTTACACAGCCTGTATCCCCGTCTATAGGTACTTGTGGACTAAATTATAGGAAGCACAACGGTATCTGGCTTCCTTCGCTTCGACCGAACGCTTGCGATCGTGATCGTCTCTCCGCCGCCGAGAGAGAAAAAAAAGAAAGGAACAAATGAAAAATCGACGCGCGGTTCACGAGTGGGAGACTCGGTGCGGCGTCGTAATTAGAGCCAGCACGACGACTGTCTCATTGGCTGATTCGGAAAACAACCGGCACCGTTACGCGTTACCTGCGATTCTCGTGATGATCGTCACGACGTGTCGTGCCAACGTATAAAAAATGCACACGTCGCGAACGAAGAATGCTTCTCCGCTCCGATACGTCTTTCTTCGTCTTTTATATCATTGACTTATAATTCACAATTAATTTACGTGACTTTAAAACTAATTTGAACGTCCGAGTAGTCTTCGAGTGGCATCTCGAGTCAAGTGGAAAGGGTTAAAGTCACGTTTCACTCTGTTTGTGATTTTGACGGCGGCGGGTTGGAGGTAATCCGCGGAGTAACGCCATCAATCACTCGGTCTGCAGTAATCGTGCCTCGGCTTCGGAAAGGACGTCAAGTTTCGACGTTACGACGGCGTGAAGTGAAGTAAGATGGTACGTACCACCACCGTGAGAAATCTTCATCTCCAAGAGGATAAGGAGACGCGCGGAGGCGCCTCTCTTTAAGGACATTCTCTCGCATTGTGTTCCCGATGACAAAGGGACTCTTGTCTCTGTGCATTAGCGCAATTCGTGGACGCGGCCTTTAACGTGAACCCTCGACGGCGCGGATACGTGCTAACGCGCTAGATCGGAGAGAATGAAAAAGGAAAGGATAGAGAAAGAGAGAGAGAGAGAGAGAGAGAGAGAGAGAGAGATCGTGCAGAAAAGAAGAGATACATCGGCATTGTTTCGTCGCGGTATATATCGCAATCGTGCGTGCCATAATTACCGAACAAAGACGACATAATTAAGGAACCGAGGGCAACACGTCAACCTAATCAACCGGACCGCGTTCAGACAGCTGTTCGTGACAACGTAACGATGTCTTATTTGCCTCCACAATACGATAAATTACGGACAATCGCGTTCGTATTGTATGGAACAGCCGTTCTTGCCATTTTTGCGACCGCTCACTGTAATGTGAATATTAACCACACTAACAAGGCGGCCTCGCGACTGCGCTGATTCACTAATACTTCGCCGTGTTAGAGCGACGAGGAAGATCGTGACAAAATTTGCCGAGTTAATCGAGCAACGGGTTCATAGATTTTATATGAAGAACGTTGCGAGCGTTGCGGTCTCCAGCAGCATAGAATATAATTATGCGCTAGCGCTATTATTGAGAATTAAATATTTTGTATACAATATACATATATGATAGCAATCAGTATGCCATAATAATAACTAATAATATTATATGCGTGGTATATTATATACATATATGGTACATATATATAAAATTATGTACCAAGTCTGATGTGTGGAAAAAAATTACGAACATATAAAAATTAGTGAATATTAGATTTAAAAAAGGTAAATACATTAGAAACATATTTTTCGATTAATTACAGAGATACTCTGTTTAAAGCGAGAATTATTCCGAAATGCTGTCAAAGTCAATTTGTGTACTTACTTTCTAGAGAGAGTCAAGGAGACGGTATTCTTTATGCCAAACAAGATTTACAGTTTCACGAGTGACTTCGATTGAAGGGCCGCGTTTGTGACAAATGCAATTCAAATCGCGTTTCCTTCCTTGATAAAATAGCGGCCCTCTTTGTTGTTCTTTCAAGGTAGCTTGATTTTTGTTGGAAGTACGATTTTTGACGTCGTGCCGAGGGAACGACGAGGTGACGAAAATTGACCCGACCCTCCCAAGGAATTTCTAATCCAATTTCTGTCAAGTTTCTTACAGACGATGCGACGTGAAAATTTTCTCGCGAGCCCCGCGAGTGAAAAGTTCGAAGCCATCTTACTATCCTCGTAAAGGGTAAGAGGTGAGCTACCACTTCGGTACCGGCGCGAAGGCAAACTTTCTTTACACACAACGGCAACAAGTAAGAAATTTCGCATGCGCTCGCATTCCTGATCATAGATCTGTATCAGCGAAACTTGGGTCTCGCGCGTAATATCTCACGAGTAAAACTCGATCCACCAGTAAATCGCAATCTTTTTCGGACATTTACGATGAATTGGGGGTGGGGGGAGGGAGATTTATTATATGATAAGCTGAATGAAAAGAATCGTACACGCACATTGAAGTAATGCTCGAATAGAGTCGAATACACGAATATATATCGAAGTTCGAATATATACAAAGCTTTGCAAATATCGTAATGTATTTCGACAGCGACTTCTATCACGTTACGGTCATCCAAGCACCGCTTCTCGCGAACGTGACACCACGTTATAAGCGTAATTTGCGCTTAATACTCGTTCTCTCCCGTTCGCTTCATCATCAGACGGCGAGGAGGCCCGTTCGCCTGCACGTACGACAATAAGTGGAAAATTTTGCAATAGCGGCTCAGCCGGCGATTTTCCTATTTGGCCAATCGCTGTTCCGCCATGCACGCCTCTTTGAGCGCCGTGATTTATATCGGAGTCTCTCTTAAATCGTTCAGGAGATTAACTTAAAAGGTCCTTTATAGCGTCACTACTATATCACGATGGCGGTCTTTGTGCCCGGGGCCCGGTCCTTACGAAACGAGATTAGCCCGCCGTTCTTTTGTACCGAACGTTGAAATACTTAAGTCGTCGTGAAAATACACGTGCGCAAGACTCTTTCCCACAGAGTATTTTGACTCGCGTCTCGCGCGGATGATGAACGTCAAAGAAAGATTCGATGAAGAAAAGTAAGGAAGAGCGAAAGAGAGAGAAAGAAGATCATCTTCTTACCGTATTCTTAATGCTAAGCATAATCATCTGATTCTGAGTTTATTTCTTTTATAAAGATCAACGATATTCAAAAGAGCCACATTATCCTATTATCCTACTTATACCTATTATGTTTATTATATATATCATTTAAATTTCAAATGAGATATTTACGACGCGTCTTCGACAGTAAGATAATAAAAAGTAGAAAACAGTTTGAAAAACAGTCTGTGAAGATATGAAAAATAATAGCTCTTTCATTCTTTTAGTATATACTTTTTATGTTGTCTTTAAGATAAAATAAATTAGATCTAAATTAAGTCTAGCGCAGAAAGATTAAATAAACAATCAGAATTATTTATTCAGCACTCGAATTTTCGTAAATGTAAAACAATGCAATATTATCTACGTAATTGTAATATTAAATTGTAGTCCTAAAATATTAAAATGTCGCCATTTAGACCAAAAATATTTCAATAATAACATTTCATTATTTCGATAAACAAAGAAACAATCTTGATAAGTTTAATAATAACTAAATTAGGTAAGACGTAAATGCTGTCAAATCATAACTGTCGTCTCGTTGGAAACTGCACTAGTTAGATAAGCTAGCACAGGGCAAAAGAGACAAACTTTACTTTTCGAGTTCAAATCGAACGACATTTTGCATAAAACATAAACATCGATATTCGATTCCTCGATATAATCGCTCTAGTTAGATTTAACACAGTTTCGATAATTGTATAAAAAGAATTAAATACTCTATCAATTATTATTCAACATACATGTTATACAAATAAAACTCATGATAATCATATTATACAAATAAAATTTATAGTCAATGTTATATAAATAAAATCAGATCTTAATCAGACTAAAAGTGTAAAGTCAAGAAACTTAGCATTAAATGTCAGTATCTATTTATTATTAATCGCAAATTGAGTCTACAGCAATAAGAACGAGTAGAACATTTGCTAGAAAGGACGGTTGGCGAAAAGCTTTTGGCATAAACATTCGTCGAGCGGTCAGTGCGAAAAATTTAGCCTGCGGCTCTCAAAACTCCGCAAAATAACGAATAACCAAAGGGAAAAGAAACCGCAAAAGAGCCCTCAGACTCGCGTAGTTCCTCAAGACGACACTTTTATATATCGCAAATGCGCCTCGAGTATTCCGTTGCCCGAAATGCAAATTTAATTTTGCAATAAAAAAAAGTACGTCTTCGAGAACGCCGGCGAGTGAAAGACGAGTGCAAACTCTGCAGAACGTGAATCGCGACGGGTGCTTTCAGAGCGGTATGCAGGCGGAACGTCGTTGGTGTTCGCGTGTACCTTTCAGTTGTTCAGGAACTCCTGAATTATGACGGAGTATCTTCGTTGCCATCGCGGCGTTCCAAGATTCCAAGCGAAAAAGGCGAGCGAGAGCTTAATGAGCTGCGGTCGAAAGAATTTGACAAAACGAGTATTAAGGCATCGGCGCCACTATAGTTGTCATTATCGCTGACTGTGACGGCTGTCACTTGAAAAGAGAAGCGTGTTATTATATTTTCATAGATAAGCTACTCGAAAGCCGAGGCAGGTTTGATTTATGTAGAAGACGTCAAAAAAGGTTGACAGGGGAGAAAAAAGAATTGCCTAAAATATCGTAAAAGCTAAAATAAATTTGCTTCTCTAGGATTATTTTCCTATTTGTAATATAAGCGAAGAAGGAAAATTTAGTTAAAAAGAATTAGCGCTAACCGATGCTGGAAATTTAATACAATCGTGATTGTTTTAAGCGGCTTAAATGCAATTAACAATTCAATTCAGAATGTATATCGCGAATTCGTTATAATCCTCTCGAATTCGTTATATTCTCTCATCTCCATTTAATATTACTCTCTCTCTCTCTCTTTCGTTCTCCCTATCCCTCTTCACTATTTAATAATACTATTGGGAATACGTTGTTAACGCTATGTATAATAATTCACTTTCAGTGTGTTCATAAATATGAATCAATTTACTAGAAATTTAGTTTATGCCAATCTAAAAATAAAAACCTTAAAGATTAATGGATTAAATGTCAACTTATATTTGCTTAAAAAGATATGTGAAGTAACATGCAGTCTGTAAATTGTTTTTTTTTTTACGCGAGCAGACCCACTGCTTTCGCAAATTTCGACCTCTCGGAAATTCTGTGCCGGTCACAGCAATCTGCCATTCGTGCGCATCTACCTTCCCCCCATATACGGCCCTATGACGTAGTATCATGCCCATCCTCGGGATCTTTCTGTCTGTTCGTTTTTTTTTTTTTCCCTCTCGCAAGTACCATTCATCCGCGAGCTCTAATTGAAGCGCGGACTGCGGGCGCGGGATATCGGAAAAAAAAAATCTCGTCGATTCCGTCCGTCGTCGAGCGATCTCTGCACACGTTGCATGATCGATACGCGGTGGCGGTGTCCTGACGGTGTCCGCGATTGGTCGGTCGACGCGGCGGTGCAAAAAGCGAGAACGAGGGAAAAGAGATGCGCGACACATGGACGGACGGACGGACAGATGGGCAGACAGGCGGACAGAAAGTGAAATGTCCTCGGCGGCGAATTAAATGACGTTTTCGAATTCGGTCGCTACCATCCCGCGTCCGACTATCCGGCAAATGAAAGAGATGAAAGAGAGGGCGGCCCTCTCCTCCCTTCGGCGTCACCCGCGGGGAGGAGACCCGCGCGTGTAAATAAACCGCACGCTGATAAATTGCCGCGCGCTTACGTACATCTCGGAGCGCGCTCCTCCGTATAGCGTGATTTAACGTAGTGGACGTCGCGACTTGAGCCCCGTCGCTGCCTTTCGAAGTTATCGTCAAACGCAGCGAAGAATGACTCGAGGTAGCATCGCCATCTCAGGGATAAATACCGATCAAACGTTGAGTCATAGTCATAGTTCTGTCGGTGAGCAGCTGGGCTGTTAAGGTGCCAAGCGACCGATATCGGAATTGTGAAATGGGGGTGTGAAATGAGTTCAAGCTTTATAGAAATAGAATGTCTCAATGCAATAATGTCATTAAGATCCTGTAAAAATACTCTCAGAAACTGTAATGAGACATTTCCGAAAAATTAAAGATATTTAGGTATAAATTGACTTTTCGTTAAGGAAAATATATTTTCGATACAGAGAAATAGGAAATATATCTAACAATAGATTTATTGATAGCTCCGTTATATAATACATTTCAAGCGATAATAAAATGAAATGCTTTCCATTCGAAGAGATTCGATGTTCTTATTTTATTATTGACATTTACATTCTTTATTTTTTAAATTAAAATTAACATGTGAAACGTTTGTTAATAAATATTTTCACAAAACAATAGGCGAGCTTTAAAACTGCGGTTTAACGGAATCGACACTTTCGCAGTCACTACTTAAACACGTCGATTTAATTCTGTTTGTACGCGTTATATAGATCAACGTCGGACGTCTATAAAAGAAATATCTGTGTGCTACGGCAGTAACGGGAGAGGCTGTTAATCGGCAGTCGCTTAGAGTTAACGTCGTAAAGAAAAAGTTGACGTTCATCGCACTTTTTCTGGCAGAATTTAAATGGAAGAATAATATCGATCCTATCAGGGCCGTCGACATTTGTTAATTGACACTCTTCCTTCAAACACTTGCGACCAATTCCATCTTGAAAAGTCATCGTCCGACGTTGCACTCGACTAAAGATAATATTAAAAAAAAAAACGTTAGTGCATTAATGTTATCGGAATTAGTTAACTTTTCAGTAGTCTTTCCGTAAGCACTACCGTATCGTCGTGATAAAATCTAATCTAGGTGCAATTCAACTTTAATACAAACACCAATTAAAACGGTTCAAATTTTAATCTGTCGATCGATCGCCGTTTCTTCAGGAATATCCCGTTCAAAATTGACTTCTCGAGAGTCTTCGACGAAGGCCGCATCGAATAGCTTCAAACGATCTCGTGACAGCTTCAGCGAAAGCAGCGCCTGGGAGGCAATTTTCGTGACGGCGCTTAATAAAAAAAAGGCATCGTTCGTGAAACGTGAAACGTCCGTCGTCTCGCAATAGTCCTCGAGGCGCGAGACATTCCTGTTCGTTACAATTCGCTGTGAAATAACAAGTCGGCGA